CTAATCCAATGTATTTGAAGAGCATTTGGTTGGATTAGATTTTACATTGAACCTAAAGAGGAGGCTCTTCCAGCAATAACACTTAGACTTATGTACCGCTTTATAGTGCTTTATAGCACTCTCTAAGTAGTTTACAATGTCAGCATATTGCCTCCAACAATCTGGGTCCTCATTTTACCGATCTCAGAAGGAGGGAAGGCTGAGTCAACCTTGAGCCTGTCAGGATCGAACTCCAAGCTGTGGGCAGAATCAGCCTGCAATGCTGCATTCTAACCACTGTGCCACCACAGCTGGTAGTTCAATCTTTCATCCAATCTCATTTGAAGCAAACTGCCTGGGTCAGTTTTCCTAGTCTAATTCAATATTGCCTAAAACATTTTTTGATTTGATGGATGAACTGGAATTAAAAGACATGGCGAGAGAAAAATATGGAAGAAAGGGATTTTACTTTCTTTTCGGATAGGCACCAATCTTATTCTAGAATTGATTTTTTTTTAATCACTAATGATTTTTGTTCTAGGGTGAAGAATATTAAGATTTTTCCCAGGACATTGTCAGATCACAGTCCGGTATGGATGGAGTTATTTGCTGAAGAAGGGAGCAGAAGAACTTGGAGATTGAATGAAAATTTATTTAGATATGATATAAATTTACAGAAATGTAGAGATCAATTGAAAGAATTTTTCTTGTTGAATATGCACAAAGGTACTTCAATTTCAATGGTCTAGGATGCTAGTAAAGCATATATGAGAGGTAATTTGATTTATATGAATAATGTTCACAGGCGTAAACAAATGCAAAAAAGTAAAGAGTTAGAGGAAGAGATTAAATTGAAAGAACAGGCTTTTATTTTAAATCCACTGGATAATAATTTAAAAGTATCTATTACTGTGCTCAGGGAACAATTTAATATGTTAATAGCAGATCAGACGGCAACTAGTTTAAGGTACATGAAATATAATACATTCTCTAATGCAAATAAACCAGGAAGGTGGTTGGCCTA